TTCATGTAGAAAATTAGTTAATTAGTTGCGTGAGATTTTGGAGAAAAATCCCATGAATTAGCCATTGTTTTGCCCATTTATGGAAGTGCAGTTACTGTTCATGGCGTGATCACTGTTCATAGATACTGTTCATGGGTACTATTCATGCACTAATGGCCAACAATTAATGGGGATTTAAATGTTTAGTTTGTAATATAAGAACAAATTTGGAGATGTCCGATAATGTGGGGATTGATAGAAAGAGTATCGTGATTAGGGGTAGTCCTAATGATGATTTCAGTTTGAATTTGTGGTAGTACGGTATTAATTCTGGAATATTTTGGCTAGGTTCCTGATTATTCTATCACCCTAGCTCTTGGAGTGAGTTTTTTGCTTTATACAATTGAGGTAAGTAAATTTATGGTAATGCCCGTACAGTTTTTAAAAGCATGTTTTAACTTGTTTTTGAAGTGGTGGCGGTACTAAACTCATTTTACACAAGTATGATCGATTTAAAATGAAATTATTATTCTTTTTATTGAATTGAGCATGCCTACTTGAAATTTAATTGTTTGTCTTGATGATTTGAAAGTGATTGGTGAATTATGGTTTTTCTGTTAACTTCTGCCTGTTTTGTCTTCGATGTGGTTATGTTATTAGTGACTCTGCTAGTGGGGGTTATAAACGCTAGTACATGTCGGCATGTTATTGATAGAACCGGTTCGTTCGAGTGACCCTGCTAGTGGGGGTTATACACCAGCAAATAGTGCGCCTGCTAGTGGGTGGTTTATAACATTGGCCATGACTTATAGAGGAGACGTCTATTTTGTTCCCGTACTGTATCTGTTTTTCATGATTACACTTGTTGGCATGCTATAAGTTTAATTAAAGGCTATCCATATTTACTTACTGAGTTTATCTCATAGTTTTTCCTTGTCCACCATTTCAGGAAGCAAAACCGAGGACGGGGAAACCACGGGAAGTGACGAGTTAGAAGGCTAGCCATTTCGAGATTGATATAGATTTTAGAAATAAATCATACTTTTGTAAGATAGATTTTACCTTGAATTTATGAGATCATAACAGATTTCGGTCATTAGATCAATTACTTGGATTTAAGTCATTTTAGATATAGAAATAAATTGAAATATTTGATTTAAGTTATTGGATTGTCAGATGTGAATTGGATAAGTTCCGAGCCTTGTGCATTTGTGGGACCCTCTCACGAGTCCACGGCGTCTGTCACCCCTCGAATTTAGATTTTGGGGTGTGACAGATTTAGTGGTATTAGAGCTTAGGTTTAAATTAAGAGCTTAAGATTACATTAAGCAACTCCAGATTGAGTGGTATCAGAGTTTAGATTTAATTAAATACCTAGATTTAATTGAATACCTAGGATTTGTTTAGAACTTGGCTAGCTAGTGGATTTTAGAACCGTGGTGAGATGAGTGATGGGGTTATATAAGGGATAATTCCTATTCATGTTGCCTAAATTTTGTAATCCATTTTGATGAGATGGTAATCTGATTGTTCTTGTTTCTTGCCTTCATACCTTGTGTAGATTCATGAAATTAATCTTGTCCGCCATGTTCTTAAGACCTTGTTTTGAAACTTGGTCATTTTCTGATAGTCTGCACTTGTTTAGACTTGTTACTTGAATATAATTTTTGTATGTTCTTTTGCCACAATTGTAAAATCTGGGGAGTTGCAGAGATCTTTTGTTATTGATCTTATTGGTTTCTACAGCATAGCTGGTTGAAACATTTGTTCTGTTTGTCACGTGACCAGTGGAAGATGGGCAAACCCTTTACTTTGTAAGAGATTCAAGGCTATTTTAGCAAATGTTGTGTGTTTTCTAGATGCATTTTAGGAGCTGGATAACTTGGTAATTTTGTTGCTCATTATCTTTCTAGAAGTCTTATAGTGAAATTTCACTTTTTCCATTTGGAGCTTCATGGTCTTTTCATCTGGCTCATTTTTCTATATTGGTTAATCAAAGTAGTGATCAACTCAATTGAAATTACCATGTTTTTGTGAAGATTGACAAGTTGTCATAAAGTTAAACTCTCTATTGTTGCTAATCTCTACATTCTTGATACTTGAAAATTGCTTAAAACTCTTGAAATCCATCTTGAATCTTTCTTGAGATTGCTTTGTACTTGTTTTTGAAACTGAAATCCAAAGGAAATGGATAATGATTATTGAAATCCTCATTATCTTGATACTTGTCTAAAATTAATTCTTGTGTTGTTCTTGGAACCTTATCTTGAACCTTGCCTGAAGTAAAGTCATGTTAGCATCCTTTTCTTGAAAATCAATTGATATTTGGTTTTTTGGAATCTATTTTGAATTGTCCTTGAAAACCATTCTTGTCCTGACCTTTGCTCTTGCTCAAATTCTATATACTGCTATTGTTCAAATTTTGTGTACTGCTCTTGCTCAAATCCTGCATATTATGCTACTTCTTGTTTTAGTATACCTGTTGATCTTCTTGATTTTTTATTTTGTTCATATGGACACCTTCTTAGAAGGGGTGATGATTATTAGAAAATACCTATATGAGGCATCCTAATTCTTGTCTCTTGCAAGTGTTAATCTCTGTATTATTGATGTCTTAGCTTTGACTTGACTCTAGGATGTCTAGGATGACTTGATTGTAAATCTGCTTAGCCTCCATGGGCTACGAGGTAAAGGGGTAGTCTTTGAAGTACCTGATGCCCTAGAGTTTTGTTCCAAGAGAAATGGTTCTTTTATCTGGCTGCTTTGATTTTTGTTTGTCCTTTTAATTAGAAGACAGTAATCTTCTAAGTATCCTGATCCCCATTATTGATTATTCTATTAATTAATTTGTGTTACTTGGGGTGTTAGATCTTGACATCCTAGTTATATTTGCTCTTGCAATCCGTGTTTTGGTTGTCATTATTGAAATCTCTTTTGTGGGCCTAATCCTTGAATTCTATTGCTTGTTTCATGGTTAACCCTTGTCTCTCAATTTTGATTGCTTGGTTAAATTTGATCTTGATTCTTGGTGAATGCCGTTTTGTGTCTAAAATTTTTGAGGCATTCTACCTTGCACTCTTATGTTCCAGTATTCTTCCAAGCATTCATATTTTCCACTAATTTCATTTTGATGCTATTCTGGAAATTTCACAGGTCATTTGATGGGTCTAGCTTTTAACTCTTGTTAATTGCTAAAATTTGTCTCTTGATTCCAGTTGTTTTCTTAAACATGACCTTATTGGTTAACCTTGTTTTGTGGCAGAGTTTATAAGGCATCCATCCACTTGTTCATTCATTTATGATTCGTACATCCATTGGATGCTTATCCGTCCTTGATAGAGTTTAAAGTTTTGTTGTACTTGTCTTTAAATCCATGCCATTCGTTGCCAACTCGTCTTTGTGTTGGGTTCATAGCGTAACCCCACAATTGTTCTTTTGTAACCTTGGCAAGATTTATTTTTATTTCTTGTGCTTCCCATATCACCTCAGCCTCCAGTAGCTTGTTTTATGGTAAATCTTGTTAAGTAGTTAATGTCCTGCTTTTATGATTAGTTGTGGTTTGATATCAGAGTGGCGCAGCGGAAGTGTAGTAGGCTATGTTCTGCTCATAAAGAGTTGGTGAGGCATTTGTTTTGTCTTGGATCATGTGAAGCCAATCACCACTTGAAATGATCCTCAATTTGAGTTTTGGGTACAAAACTCCTTTTTAGGAGGGGTGAATGTAATATCCCAAAATTTTGTAATATTTTAGCATTTAGTTAAGGGTTTAATTGTGAAAAAAGTAATATTGTTGGGCCTAATAGTGAATATTTCAAAAGTTGAGGGACTTAAAAGAGGGAAAATTTTGGATAAGGATCGGTTGGCATTTTTTTCTTCTTTCTTCTTCTTCAGCCCGCGTGTTCTGCTCTTCTTCTTCTTCTTCCCTGCACCGAACAAAACCCAGCCACCACCGACAGCCCTCCCTTGAAGAAAAACCGATAAAAGCTTGGGGGATTTCTCCTTCTTTTCTTGTTCTAGAACACATAAAGAACCCAGAAACCTCCCCCCTGCGAAGAATT